AGCCCCCTGCCCCCGGGCCAGGCCCCCTGCCCCTCCCCAGTGGGCCTGTCTGTAACCGTCTCTTCTCCTGATGCAGGAAAAGTACCCTGATGCCGTGCACCTCCCGGAGGGGGCCTCCTCCCGCTACATGGGCATCTGGAGCGCCGGCCGGCCTGGGTGAGTGCACAGGTGCCGTGGAGCGTCCCGCTTCCTGTTGAAGCGAGGGTCAGAAGCGGCGGAGTCACGGCAGACGTGACCGACACTGCTAAGTGGGGAGACTGCGCTCTGTAAACGGTGGCGGAAGGAGGGGTCGGCACCGAGGGGGGGAGGGAGGGCTCGCTGGGCTGCAGGAGGAGAATGCCAGTCCCGGGCCCGTGGGTGACGGCCTCCCTGCCAGGTCCTTGGAGGGCCGAGGAGGGGCGCCGGGAGCGAGTGCCGCGGAGTGGGGGTCTGCTGCTACTTCCGAAAGGGGAGGGAGGAAGCCAGGGGCGAGGGGAGCCGGAGAAGCCGGACACTGGGCAGAAAGGGGCCGGGCTTGACACGGCTCTCAGCCGGGGGCCTCCAGCTCGCGCTCTGCTCAGAGCCATGGTGCACGCACTGTTTCCCGCCCTCTTGCCTGTGTGTGTGTGTGCGCGTGGTCCTATCTGTGTGCCTTTGCGACCGGAGCACCTAGAAAACGTGGGTGTTCCAGCCTCCGATCAGCATGGCCGCCTGGCAGGCTTCTGAGACGGTGCTGTGTCCGCAGCCGCCGCCTCCAGGCCTGCTCAGCCTCCAGGAGGTGAACACACGTGTCCATGCGCTTCGGCCTCGGGCATGCGGGTTCCTCACACCTGCTAGCACACAGTCCACAAGCCTCTCCTGGGCTCACATGCCTGGAAGTGGAATTCCTGGGCCGTCAGACAGACTGTGTTCGACTTTGTCAACGCCGGCTTGCTTCAAAGCCGCTCACCACGGTATGTTCCCCCCAGGCACTAAGCTGCTCTGCATCCTGGGCGTGTGCGGCCACGCCCGCTCTTGCCAACACAACTGGTACGAGCAGTACCTTTCTGCGGCCCTCGTTTTCACCCTCCGTGGAACCGGTGACACTTTTTCTTCATCTGGGGGCCGATGTCTCGGGGCACAGGGAGCCCAGGTGCCACTCACAGCTTAATCTAAGATGGCCAGATTGCGGATAGCACTTGATGCATTTTACCTCTTTTTCAGGTTTGAATTTGTGGTTGTTTGGAAAATACAAATCGATGGAGAGGGGAAGGTTTTTCCAAAGCTGGATCTTCTCACCAAAGTCCCAGAGCGAGGTACGCACTCTGGGGGTGGACAGTCTAGGTGACTCCTCCATGTGCCTGACAAAGCCACCTACTCATCTCGTTTGGGTTCACGTGGCGAGAATCAAAAATTGAAAATGTCATTGATATGCTCTGTACCTCAGGTTTTAAAATATTTTTTACCGATACTCGCTCAGGAAGCACGTGCGAGGGGACTGCTCCCCGCAGGGCCGTCCCAGGCTGAGCGCACAGAGGAACATTCCGCCTCGCGCCACGGGCGAAGGCCCTGCTCGAGTCCTCCTGTCCCGGGCGCTGGGCACTCAGGTGGCCGGCCAGGAGGAAGGGTCTTGAGGGGCCGGCGGCCGTCGTAAACGCGAAGCCAGAAGTCACCGCCTTGAAGTGTCTTACCCAGCTTATGTTTTCTTCACAGCCCTGGAGCTGGACAAGAACAGAGTCATAGAAACTGCTCCTCTCGGCTTCCGAACCCTGCTAGGAGTGCTTGGAATCGAAGCTGCTCTGGAAAGCCTGATCAAACTGCTCTGTGCTAAGAGCGACTAGTTCCAAAACAGTGAGTGTGTAGAGATAAGATGCTGCACGGCAAAGCGTGAGCTTCCTTGAGTGTAAACACTTGCTATTTTCCACTTGGAAACCACACCCTCGGTACATGCTGTTTCTGCAGTTATGGGGCATCATATGTAAACTCTCCTGACATGAAAAATAAATACAGCGGTTTCGGTGCAAAATGCCACACAAGAGTGACATGTCCAGTATATTCTTTTAAAACCAGCTGAACGTTTGAGAAGATGTCCCAAGAATGTCGCCCTCAGTTGTGCAGGAAGGAGCTGTGCCCCGGGGACCCACCACCACTTCGCGCCGGAAGTGGGGGGGCACCAGCCCCGCTGGGAGAAGCCAGCCTTCTCCAGCCCCAGTCCCGGGGGCTCTGCAGGCAGAGGCTGTGGAGCCTCGCTTCTCGGACTTTCCGTGGTGCTCAGGGGAGGCATGCCCACCCTCCTCATCTCTTCCTGGCCTGCAGCGTAGCACTGGGGGCATCCGCAGATCTCGCAGCGAGTGCCGACACTCTGGTCTCCCACACGAAAGCGGAGCGGTTGGCTTTTTTAAAAAGCCACAGCCAGCAAAGGCATCATCGTTCCCTTCACACCAGGCGTGACCCAGAGGAGGCAGGGCCCGTCACGGGAGCTTAAGTGCCACATGGACAGCCCCAGACAGGCCGTTGCTGGTGATCGCGACGTTAGGGTCACTGAAGGCACACAAGGGGAGACCTCAGAAACGGTTTGTTTACTGAAAAACTGTACATTGGCCGGGCTCGGTGGCTCAGCCTGTCATCCCGCGCCTTTGGGAGGCCGAGGTGAGTGGATGGCCTGAGCCTGCGGGTTCGAGACCCGCCCGGGCA